AATGTCAAATGTCAGTGTGTTTAACTAATGATTGATTTAATTTATCACAACACCTCAAACTATTCGGTATTATACACTTGTGTAAATGTCAATCATTTTCGCTGTCATGAATCACTAACAAGTATATCCTTTTAATGTCCATTACACAACTAAACTACTCACTTCCATGTTACATACAAGGTAACATTTGAGATGATAGCAAAACCTGTCAAAGTAACCTGGTTGCTAGGATACTAGATATGCAAAATGAAAATTTATGAAAGATGAAGTGAATATTAGGCTCATCAATCTCTGTCTGTGCCTTCCAAATCCGTTTCAGTGCTGGAGGCCAGATCAGACTCCTTCGTTATTTTACATGCATTTAATCACCATATTTCGTGAGGAAATCAAAAGGTTAGGCCTACACAGGCACCTATTCATTTGCTGTGGAATTAATATTGATGTTTTCTATCAATAAAATGCAAATAAGAAAAAACAAGCATGCATGGCACAGTCCCCGTTAGTTAAATTAAGCCCAACAACACAATGACCCCCCAAGAAAAAGCTCCACAAATGTAGGAGAATGCAATTTACACTTTTTTATATCACTTTTCATTCTATAAATATTCAACATTTCATCAATATTATGTAGTCAGCCATCTTGATTCTCAAGCAAAGGATCATGGGTAAAGTATGACATCACAGAGTCTGTTGTCAGAAATTGAGAAAATGATTTCATCTATAACATGGGAAATACTGATGCGAATTAGTTAAAATTTTCGTTATGCATATAACTCTTGTATTTGATTATAGTAATGTAAATTAGAATGTTACAAATACACATAAAGTGAAGATATTGCCAAAAACGTTAAAAAAATAAAAATCGTTATTTTCGTTGTGAAATATAGAATGACACTTTTTTGTCCACTTTTTATGGCCTTTAAGTAATATATCACCTATATAACCTACTCACATCGGTAAATTGTATACAATATAAGGATATTTGAGCATTTGGTAGAAAAACATAAAAATAAATATTTTCAGTTTTGTTTCCATGATAACTATTTTATAAGCATGTTTGGCACCAGTACATGTATGCTACCCTGTTCTAAACTTTCAGTCATTTAAAGTTCAACTTTTTAATAATTTTTTTCCATTTCTGACAACAGACTCTATGATGTCATACTTTACCCATAATCCTTTGCTGAAGAATCGAGATGGAGGTCTACATAAATTGATGAAATATTGAATATCTAGAGAATGAGAAGTGATATAAAAAAACTGTAAATTGCATGTTCTTACATTTGCCGAGCTCTTCCATCGAGGAGTATTATGTTGTTAGCCTTGACTTTCACTTTAAGATATATAGTTTTGTTTATAATACCGTAATATAGCTGGAATATAACCATGTCAGGAATATGATTTTTTTTAACATTAAAATGATTGACATTTGTATCTGATCGTCAAACGAGTTCTTGTTCATATTGAGAGATATTGCTCTGGAACAGCATGCAAAATCAGCCATTTTAAATACATGTATATATATATATATATATATAACATGATGTACGGTATAACGAATATATAAAATTTGAATATAATCAGTCAAAGCATTTAAGAGATATGGCTCTAGAAGCCCAACCAATAAAAACAAAATGGCCGCCAGTCAGCCATTTTGAATCCAATCTGAAAAATAAAATGACGTGCATCAGGAACCTGTAATGTCTAATGTATGTTATAAGTTTGAACAAAATCCATCCATAAATGCAAGAAATGCTTGATATTTGAGGATTTTTTTAGCACAAAAATAGCCACTGTTTGGCCACTTTGAAAAGGATCGTCAAACCAATATATCCGTATATCTATGACATGATGTATAATAAATATTAAAAATTTGAACATAATCAGTCAAAACAAGTCAGACATATGGGTCTGGAAACCAATTCATTAAAACAAAATGGCCGCCAGACAGCCATTTTGAATCTGATCTGAAAAATAAAATGATGTGCATCAAGGAACCCGTAATGTCTAATGTATGTACCAAGTTTGAACGAAATCCATCCATAAATGCCAGAAATGCTTGATATTTGATGATTTTTTAGCACAAAAATGACCACCATTTGGCCAATTTGAATAGGATCGTCAAACCAATATATCTGTCTATCTACGACATTATGTATAATGAATATTTTAAATTTGAACATAATTAGTCAAAATAAGTCGGAGATATGAGTCTAGAAGCCCATTCATTAAAACAAAATGGCTGCCAGTCAGCTATTTTGAATGTTATCTGAAAAACAAAATTATTTGCATCAAGGTCCCATAATGTCAAAGCCATATTAGTCACAAGTCTATGTAATAAATATCATTGTTATACATCTGTCAATGTTACGCCATAAGTTATAGCATGTCGTAATTTTGCGGTATTGCACTGGGCATTTTCATCCTACCATAATAGGAAATGCGAATTCCAAACATGGAATCATTACGTGCGTGAGCGTCCTCTAATAATAAAAACAAACATGGCAGCCCCCACGGTTTGACCGGACTCGTTCACTAAATCTGTTCTAAACTTTTTGGATTTCAGCATTCCCATGACGTATCCATGGGAGGAAAAGATGTATAATAATAAGGTTATTACTCAGACAGTACGCCATCACAACGACTTACACTGCGCATCGGTCTATACTCCCGCGGTACTGTCTTTGTGAACACTTTTCAGTATCCTCATAATAACCTCATATTATCCTCACAACAAATCAGACAAGTGCGACACTTTCTCAGCCTAATTTCACAACAGTAAAAACAAACAAAACAGTGCCTGACTCTGCTAATAAAACTAAATTTTGCTGTGTTTCATCAAAAATTGAGCAACAAATCAAAGAGGCATATGTAGCAATCAATAATGTAATAACCAACTGTTAATGTAATACCTATCATTTACCATTAGTGTAATCAGGGTTTTTCTAGAAAAAAACTGCAAGAGGGAGCACTGCAGTTCAGCGGCCCCACTAAGTGAGGGAGATAGGGTTCTCCCTACCAGGGTTTGGAGTTTTTGATAATTCTAAGTTAAAATGGAGCATTATATGGCTTCCTTAGGGCCAAAATTACTATCAGACAGGAGTTTTTGATAATTCTAAGTTAAAATGGAGCATTATATGGCTTCCTTAGGGCCAAAATTACTATCAGACATGTCACAGTTGAAGACTGGCCACATGTGATCTCTGGTCAATCAGAATTTTATGGTTGCCGGAGGATCTGCTCCCCAGGGTAAGGGAGCGCATGACCATGGCATGAGGGCGCTGCGCCCCTGTTCCCTTGTTTAAAAAAAATCCCTGGTGTAATGATCAACAACTAACTTAATATGAATTCAACCAATAATGCAATAATAGGTTAATTGTTAAAATAATAAAAAATAACTAATACTGCAACATATTTAAGCATCAGAAGATACTTATATTATTGACAATGTTTATTACTAATAAACCAATATCTTTGATTACCCGTTTGATGTAACTATTACCAAGTAATTGCATTACATAGTCCCTTGAGTTAACAAGTTTAAAAAATATGGCACTAAAACAAAATGGCTACCGATGGCAATAGTCATGACAATAGGCAGTTTATGAATATTATAGACACTGACACTGGATGTCTGGAAAAAATCTACTGTCGACTAAACTATATTTTCTCACAGTATTTCACTTTTCAACTACATCATCAAAGTAAGAGTTCAAATTAAGGGCAAACTCACGGGAACAACTAATAAAATACCACGTTACTGGACATAATACATACTTTTAATCATCAGTCCTTTTGTAAAAATTGATCAAACATGAAATAACATGATGCACTTCAAAATTGGTAAATTATTGATAAATTCCTAACACGACACATGATTTTCAAAAATTAGAACAAAAGTTTTGCTTGTCTGCTGTCATTAATATTGACCCAAAGTAAAATAAAAACACAAGAGCCTTTTCTCATATAAAAATAAAAATAAAATATCTTAGTTATTTCTGGACATGTCAAATTGTCAGCCTTGCAACAGACACCTTGTGAACATAAATATTCAAACATGACAACGCAGCTATGTTTGTTTACTAGATATATATTCTCATTCAACAAAGAGCCAAGCATAATGGGAAATGTTAACCTGATTTTCCAACATTTATTTCAAGTCTGCTTCTATTTTAAAAAATTTTTTTCTTTTGTTTTGATCATTCATACTGTCTTCAATTTTTTTATTTTTGTCAGTAGTAACATTATATTCACATGGATATGACAGACTGGGCAGACTGTACATGTAGCAATATTGTATTGTGTAGTGGTTCATTTTAATAGGTCAAACTGTGCTACAATACCACCAGGATATTTCTTTTTCAAATACAATAAAAAGACCAACTAAAATCTCATAAACAGTGGAGACCGTACACATTCTCCCTCAGTTGACAGATGAATCCCCTCACATACAGTGACCACACACTGGCAGTTGTTTGCACAAAATCAGAAACAGTTTATTACATAAATTATTACAGACATCAATTGCTAGTTATATCTTTTCACTTTTGTTATTACTAATGACGCGGCTATTAAAGGCAAATCACATTAAAGGGAAATAGTCATCGAGCTGCGCAAGTCGGATATTTGTGTTGATAAGAATTGATTTTCTCACAATCCAATGTGCTCTACTATAAATGGAAATCACAAGTACGAGGTTTGACCTGTACGCAACTGGTACTAATTACCATCGGTGACTCCTTCGATACCTTCCAATCACCTAAAATAATACCTAATTAAAAGCTTGATAATGTCTCAGTTTGTACTTGTTGATCTACGCAACAGTCAAAGGCGCCATCTTTGTTTATATGAGACCCATACATGTATATCTCGCGCGACTACCGCCCTTTAAACAATATATATTAAGGTAAAAATCAAATCAGAATGCATCTGAGTAAAAAATCAAAAATAAAGACAAACTATTAGGGGATAAGGTGAAAGTGTAAATAAGCATCACTTACCAAGTTTAAGATCTGTAAGCTGCTCAACTAAGACCCAGTTTTTATCATCAATACTGTGGTTCTTCAGTACCATGAGGTAGCACACTTCCCTTGCTAAGTAATCCTTCTCCACAGTCACTGTCCGCACGCTGCCGTCTTCATTGTAAATCCTCATTAGAAATGGCTAAACACATCAGAAAAGAAAGTACATTCAGTGTTAAAATACATAAAACATAATTCTTTACTTTATTATTACACTATGTATATGTAAACAATATATATTATATGTGAAGAAAAAAAAAATGTGTGTGTATCACATGATACAACTCCTCTGGAGAGCCATGGAGATCAAGTATTATTAGGATTGATGTTTTCATCTGTAATTGTGTATTCGCCGACAGCTGGTAATTAACATGCATGTTGTGGGGGCATCGTTAAACGGGTTTATATACATATATCAGCAAGTATGTAACTTTATTTATTTATTAGACACAACACTGCCTCCAGAGAGATCAGCTAAGGTCACTAAAACTGCATGACTATTACATCTTGGCTGTTGAGAATCCAGATATTAAATAATAAGCATTCAAAATGGATATAAACTTATTATTTGAGATTACTTGATCCTGTGAGTATATATAAATGGAGTATGAGTACACCTTGAAGAGATTATTACTGTTACTAACATCTGCTTCTCATGACCTGCAACCTTCATTCCATGCATTTTAAATTAATATTTCTATTTCTAACAAAGGTTTTATTTAAGCCAAATGTGTATGTACATCTTGTAAATTATACATGCCAGTTAACTCGAAATTGAACTTAATTGATATTTGACAGTGATTGATAAGATTTCAAATTTTGAAGATGATCAGAAAAAATGTATTCTCACCACTTCAAGAAGACATTTTTAACAAAAATGTACATGCGACACATGCCAACAATAAACTTGACCAAGAATCCACACTGTTCATGTCAGAGTCAATAATTGACTTATTTAATAGCCATCGTATCAAAAACTTTATTCACTGAATAAAATTGATACATGCATTACGAGTACCATAAACTATAAATATTTTTTTATTTTGTTGCTAATAATTTACGATTTTATGGCAAAATACTTGTTACTGCTAGAAATTTCTTCATTGTTGAGAGCATGGCAAGCGAGCGAACAATCAATTTAATAAGCGACTGGTTACGTAGATGTAAAAAGAAGAAGATAATTACAATAAATGATTTAAAATATAAAGCTACAGATTGCATAAAGTGAGTTGAGGATTATGTAGAGTCAATATTATTATTTCCATGTCCAAAACATTTCATCAATTTGGAATTACGATTACTGAAGTGGGAGAAGACAGCTGACCTTATCTGTAATCTACGACAATCAGATTCAGAGTATTATTGAAGTAAACTCATTTCCTGTCAACTCATCAAATCGGTGTACTCAACTCATGAAATAAAATGATGAGAAATTTATCAATAATGATGCACAGTCAAATTAAGCTGTCTTTCCTGTAAGCAGGCTGGTGATGTTTAAATTAGAAAGGTGTCACGTTAGTAATACTATAAATTTCATGTTCACTTTAAATACGTTGTAGTTTCATGTGTAAACGAACCAATGCATGGATCCCTCAGTTGGCTACCTGGGATGCTGAAACTGAAAAGATGCCAACACAACACAGTTCGAACTGTTCGGCTAGACTAGAACTCTGCCAAGAAATGAATGGGAGTTGCTTCCAGTGAAAAGCTGATTTGTTAATTCTGGCAGAAAAAAATGCCTCATGTAATTCATATTTTACCCATATGCAAATTTCCCAATTAATATGCACAGACGGTATATAGAACTATTTCGTGAAAGGTGACAAAAGTTTACTTTGGCATTCAAAAAAGGTTAATAATATGCAAATTACCCAATTAATATGCACAGACGGTATATAGAACTATTTCGTGAAAGGTGACAAAAGTTGACTTTGGCATTTAAAAAGGGTTAAACAGAACAATAGGAATGATCGTGAGCATATATAAAAGTGTAATTATGCAAAACATGAAAAATTAAAATGACAACCAATACAAACATATCCTGGCTCACTTTTTATCTTCATCAAAAGATGTTTTTTAATAATAATAGAAATATAATAAAAACAATTTTTTTGCAAAACAACATTCAATAAATAAATAAAATCACAATAAATTAAGTATGAATAACTAAGTCTAGTTTTTGTTTCTAATTATAAATAAGTTTAATAATATGGTCTTGCTGTTACTCAACAAGTACTCAAACATCTGAAAACCATCTGTTACTCCAGTTGAGAATTCTATATTTAATAATAATTTTTGCCTATTAGGCTGATAATTAGGGTAATATATTAAGATATAACTCATTTTCAATTACATGTACATATTCTAATGGAGTTATGAGATGAGAATGTCTACCATTTTCAATTTCTTGATTATGATTACTTTTTCTGAGATGAAACACAAATATCCGATGAAAATTGGTCTGCACAACTAATAAACAGTTAAAAACATGTAATAAACAAAGCCATGCATGGCACAGTCCCTGTTACATGTACATGTAGTTATAAAATTTATAATATATTGTTTTGTTTACAGTAATATAGTTGGAACATAAACATGTCAGAGATATGGATCCAGAAGATGATGCTTGATTTTGATGATTTTTTTAACATTAAAATAATTGAAATTCAGTCATCTTGTATCTGATTGTCAAGTGTGTACTTGTCCATATTGAGAGATATATGTATTGCTTTGGAACAGCATTAATTAAAACAAAATGGCCACCGGTTGGCCATTTTGAATTAGATAGTGAAACCAATACATCCTTATATCTATGACATGATGTATAATGAATATAGAAAAATTGAACATAATCAGTCAAAGCATGTCAGAGCCGCATTCATTAAAACAAAATAGCCACCAGTCAGCCATTTTCAATCCAATCTGAAAAACAAAATGAAGCGCATCAGGGACCCATAATGTCTACCGGTAATTTATGTACCAAGTTTGATCAAAATCCAACTACAAAAGACCAAGATCCAGTTCTGGAATGCCAGCAATGTTCGATTTTTTAATGATTTTTTAGCAAAAAAATGGCCACCATTCGGCCATTTTGAATCAGATCATCAAACCATTACATTTGTATATCTATGACATGATGCATAATGAATATGAAATTTGAACATAATCAGTGAGAGATATGGCTCTAGAACCGCATTTATTAAAACAAAATGGCCGCCTGTCTGCCATTTTGAATCCGAACTGAAAAACAAAATGATGTGCATAAGGTCCTATAATGTCCAATGTATGTACCATGTTTAAACAAAATCCATCTGTAAACAGCTGAGATCCAGTTCCGGAATGCCAGAAATGCTTGATTTTTTTCAGCAGAAAAATGGCTGCCATTTGGCCATCTTGAATCAGATTGTGAAACAAATTGATGTGCATATGTATAATATCATGTATGATGTATGTGTGAAGTTTGAATGTAATTGGTCCAGGCATGTCTAAGATACAGGTCCGGATGCATGCATGGATGTATGCATGGATGCACGTACAGAATTCAATCTGAATGGGAACTAATAATCGCCCAACAAAGACACAAACTACACGTAACCACTACGTTTAACTAAACAAAGAATGAAGTGGTCTATCAAAATTTGAACTCACCTTGTTAACAATTAACTGAGCAGCATTTATGTTATGTTTAGATTGCATATTATCCTAGCAGCAAAGTAAATGAATGAGATATAAAGCAGAGTGACCTTTAACCTTAACCGCCAAAAAATACTTTGCCATTTTTTTTTCAAAATTTTGATTAATACTTACATCCAATGAGAAATCATGTTCATTTAATCCAAAATTGAAGAGAGAATTTTAGAAAAATACCCAAAATGTGCAAAATGTTGCACCAAACCATTTTGGTGCTCAAAGAACAATAAGCATGTGTACTGGAAAATTAAACTGTTATTTCGTATTATGTACTCTAATTCATGCAAACAAAATTTTTTCAACAACTAAAATCCGAATAATATTAATAAAGGCTTTGACTGAAAAATGCATAAAGCATATTAACAAACTGATGTACTGTGTTGTTGCCGGATGCATCATCCGAGATTAGTGTGAGTTTAATGGATGCCTGGAGGTTATACAGACTGTCGTCTAGGATAATCTAAGCTCTGGGATTTGCTACAATATAAGCATAGCATGCAAACTATTACAATGCCTGAAACAGTTTGTATTATTTTTAGAATTTTCTGCTGAATGTACAAATTTTACAGAATTTCATTGGAATAACGGGTATGCACCATATACAAAAGAATTTTTTCGAGAGTGCTGGTCAAATGAATATATAAGTTTTGATGATTGAAAAAAGAGATTCATGATTTAACCTTTTCACCACTAGTTTCTCTTTTTATCACAAATTCACAAAATAGTTGTACAGTCTGCATTTTCCTTCAAAAGATTGGGACAAAAATAGCCAAATTTTGTCTTCAAAATTAGGGTTTATTTCCAGAAATATTGAAGAATATGAAAAAAAAGGGCAGAAAAAATCTTTAAATATTTTTAGCAATTTCTACATATTCATCACATTAATAATGAAACACAATCATCCCAAATGCTAATAAGAATATCAGATTGATCTTTGAGTACAACTTCAATAAACTTCAGTATTCCCATGGTGCATCACAGTACTCCCATGATGCATTTGATTGTTTACTGAAGAAGTTGGGCGGATAGTTAAAGGGAAATGCATCATGGGAGAACAACCATTTTGTTGGGCTTCATCGATAAAGAAGTAATACAGATGGAGTAATAGTTTTTTTGGTTAATTTTTCTTTCAATCATATTTTCCTATTCACTCAAGTTTTGTTCATATACTGCCTGAAAATGACGTTTTGGATATCATACTAAAAACATAAGTGAGTATTTAAGTGAATCACGTATATCTATACATACCCTTTTATCAAGGTCAGTATAACTGCCGGACAGCATTCCTAATTCTGGGAATGGATCCGGAACTCGTGCTTCTTGAGGCCTGTCATCATACCAACGTGTGGAGCCAGACGATGGACTCATAGGAAGATTTTTTTTCTGTGATTTCGCCTTTGGAGGCAATGGCGGAGATCTCCTGTCCTGATACAGAAGTGGCTGTTGTTCGTTTGATGCAAAAGTATTCACTCCTTCATTTAATACAACATAACAGTCATTTCCTGTAGTTGCAAATGAAAACAGAAAAGAAAAGAAACAGTTAATATTCACATTCCATGTTAGTAATCACAGAAGTATTTAGCTATGGAATGCCATAAAAACTTCTGTTGTACGTGGTAAACTAAATGATCTTATTCTACTGCCTATGTCTGCTTCACTCAAACCAGAAACAAAACTACATACATAGTTTATGAACTCTAAAAAGCTGCCAATAAGCATTTGTAGCTAAAGTTTATTTGCCGTCATGCTTTCAAGGTTGTGCAACTATACTTAATGCATGTCAGGCCCCAGGTATTAAATTTTAGTAGTAAGCATGTCATGTCAGGAAGCTGAATAAACACACACAGTGGAAAATATTGCACCTGTGTAGAGTACACAATGGTTAGTAGTATGTTACTAGATACACTTTTATGGCTGAATACAACAACAGTTATAGAAATAATGAAACATAATTAGAACACAAAATAGTAACTCTTAATTGTCAAGGGGTAGGAGCTGCATGACTAAGGCTGTACCAGTCAGTAAAGGCATCTGCTAATCTAGAAGAATTTACCAAATTGCAATTAACCAAAAATCACTTTGACACAATCATAATTTATACATTAACCTTTTTACCACAAATTCACAAAATAGTCCTGTTTATAGTCTGCACTTTCCTTCAGAAGATTGGAACAAAAGTAGTCAAATGTTTTGAGCGAAAATTGAAAATTGACTCAAATTTTGTCTGTTGGCTCCAAAATTCATTACTAAAATATTGAAGAATATAAGAAAGAAAGAGCAGACAAATTTGGGCGAGAAAGTCTGGTGATGAAAAGGTTGATGTTGCACTGATATCACCTTCGATTGCTTTATTGTGATCTTGGGACAATTATATGAAATAATTACCGGTAATGGAATGATTATGCATGAATTGTGGGAAATGCCAGTCCCCAAGCTCCTAATAAAACTTTCACAATGAGAGCAACTGAAAAATATATACTAAACCCAAATTATAGACTCTCAGAAAAATATTACCGTCCTTGGCAAAAAAGTTAGAAAACAACCTCACTTGCTATGACAGCTCTATTAGTAATGACAGGAAAGTGACCTTTGTCACATGATTCTTAGAATCTTTTCTAAACTCATCAAAGGCTGTGAATCCCTGAAATCTGAAAGTGTGCATCAAAAAGTCACGTAAATACTGAACAGATAACAATCAAACAAACCAGTAATAAATTCATTTAATGTTTATTTGACTCTGTAGGTGGAAATATGGCAACAGACATTGCATGGACCTTCTATAACCCCACGCAGACTGATCATTTATTTATAAATAATACAGAATGAACATTTGCACTAAATAAATCATAATAAAGAATTCCATGATGATTCACACGACCAGAATGCACATATGAAACCAAAACACATTATGAGATTAGTGACAGTTCTGATTGCCAAAGTAGAAACCACTGTAAATTCTAATGATTACATCACTCAATTATCAAAATTGCAAGCATTTGACTCACTGCATTGACAGCTTAGAAGGACACAACTATCCATTGACAGGAAGATATAGTTACTTACCATGAGTCAGACTGAGAATATTTTTTAACACATGTTCTAAAACCAACACATGCAATAGACACATATGATGTACCAAAAATGATATATAGTGACTCTTGACGTTGTACTATAACTATTATTTCTAATTTCAATCTCTGTTCTGATGCAACAGGAAAGAAGATTTATTTTAGTCATTCACTAAATATTTAGATAGGCAGCCTCTCGTCTGAGTTTTAAATTTAATTAAAGAACTGAAAATATCATTAGAAAATGAACAATATGTATAGTATTAAAGCAATCAGACTTGCAGTTTTCAACAAGAAGTCAAAAATATCACTTTTTATCAAAAATGACAAAATTATTCATTAAAATTAGATATCCTCATGAAATGAACAAAATCTAAGAGAGGTCTACCCAAGGTACATACACACCAAGTATCAAAGCATTCAGGCTTGTAGTTTTCAAGAAGAAGTCGAAAAAGTAAAAAGTTGACACGGACAACGGACGCCGACAGAAAATCACTCATATGATAAGCTCCGCTCGACTAGTAGACAGTGGAACTAAAAAGAGCATATTGTAACCCTCTCAATATAACTGCAACACATCACTTCACTTCACTTTTCAATAAATTATTTATCTTTTAGTTAACTATGAAGTTAAAAAGAAGTTACATGGGTTCATCTAATACTTGACTTTACTTGAAAATTGTTTTGTTTTTTTTTTTGTTTTTTTTTAAACCCAACAAAACAAATATAAACAAGCTACCTGAAAGTCAAAATAGCTCCTGTTTCAGCTGAGTATTTTGATACGTAAACATCACAGTGGACAAACAAATAACCTTGTTTTTGTTTACATCCTGTTCTAAATATTTCCACTCCAGTGACATGACAGCAGAGCTAATAAAGCTGTGGCTAGAAGTGACCGAAGAACAAATTATCTTACAAAACTCAATTCACAATTTTGCTATGAAAAATGTGTACATTATTTTGTTCAGCGATAGATAAGGCTAATACACACTTCTAACATAGGAATTTCTGAAGTTTTGCCAAAAATACGACTGACTATTAGAAAATCTGAAGAAAAACTTGGTGTACCCGAACTAGTTTTTGAATTATGAATGTCAATGGTGTGTTTATTGCGACCATTTTTCAATTCAAAATGGCCACTAAACTAGCTCAAGGCTTAATGTGATATAGTGAAAACACAAAGTCATTGTTACCATGGAAACAATATCATGTAATCCAAATTTGTATTTGTTTATTGTCATTCACTTAATAGAACTTTTCACTCAGCAAAATATACATGTAGTGTTTTATAAAATGCCCTGTATTTTTACTAATGGTTCATGTTGACATATCAACTGTGTTTATTTGTAAGAAATTTCAGCAGCAAATAAATTACCAATAACTGAATTATTTCAATAAGTGAAGAATATTGTAGAAAATTTTATTTTACTTGGAATTTAGTTTCACTGGGAAAATCAATATCCAAATTAAGTTAAGTTACACAAATTTGTCAAATGAGGTCCATCCAAAATCATTCGCTAACAAAGCATATCATAACGCTATAATCTGTGTATTATTTGTAAGCAATATAAACTATATTATTATACCGGTACATCTCAGACTGTTCTCTAGAATTCTATATCTGTATGTATATTCATTTCCAAAACATATCTGTACTTATAGTCACCAATATTGAACACATTCCAGGATATTGGCGTCCTATTCGAATACTTTAATTAGCAGTTCATGAATTTGCATGATGTTGAACATTTGATTCGAAGAACCGAATCAGTAATCAAAAACTACAATAGCTACGACGTCTCATTTCTAATTTTGCAGTTGTTTTGTTCAGTTTAAATTTCAATGGAATTTCAAACAAATCACCATAAAAGCACAATGAAGTAACACATAAAAAGTTGAAAAGATCTTTATCATGTACAAATTCAATTTGTTTCATAAGTTTATTAATGTCCTATTACAGTAAGAATTTGTAATCATAACCAAAGCTTTTGTATTTTGCCTATTTCAAATCCCAAATAACACTATAGGGTAATCTCAGAGTCATTATATCCATAGAAACAAGTACCCTAAATTATTATTTCCTATTTATCATTTATTTGATAGAACCTCAGCAAACTTCCACATTTTTTTTTAATAGTTAGCTGCGTCCTGGAATGAACTCCCAGCATTATAATATGTGATGAATTATTCATGAAGTACTTTGATTGACAAGCAAAAGTAAACACAAAGACAATAGATACTGATAAAGAACAAACTTGTATCAGTTGATACAATCCTCTTTACCTTGTAGAGTGCTATCCTGGTTTGTATCAGAACTACTTGGTATTGGCTGCGGTGATGATCGGTTTTGAAATCCTAACCCACAGAGCATGTCACTTAAATTGTCGAAAATCTGTCCACGAGAATTGTCCATTGTAACAACTGCTACCTCACACTGCTACTGCTAAGAGATACACCGATCAATCTTGGCGTGAACTTCTGACAGTGATTTCTACGTCAGTGCGGAACAAACATGCAATTCTGTTTGTGTTGCGTACCTAAAAAAAACAACATTGGAATACATATGTTTATGTCAAGGACAGGTCGACTATATGTCATCATCAACATTGTACTAATAATTAAAACATAGCAACAAAAACAGAAGTAATCGCAGTTTTGAACTTCACGTAACTTACTTTAATACAAGTTACATTTTGAGTAAAACTGAAAGCTACCGATCGAGCCACAGGACGTACAAGTTAAAAATTAACATCAATCAACTGTTTCAAGGACTACAGTGTAACTGGCCTATATTATAGTTGACCTACGCCACAGCACACGCGAATTCTCATAACGATACTATGCAGTGATGAAATCTTATCGCGGCAAATCAGACGAACCACAACGACAAATCACGTGTTTGAATCAGTTGAAGTCAGGTGAAGTCAACAGGCCCCATATCCACGCCCATCCAGGGGACCAATCGGCCGTTTATTAGCTCCCTGCGTGACAGAAATACCGCAGTGGGGGGTACGACTCGATGAGTCATTGATAAATACAAGTTACGACTGGATTTATTATATCCTGCTCCGTCGTTGACTCCTTGAACGAATACTGAACCAATTTCAAGGTACAAAATTGTCAAAAAGGCACGATCACATTCGATGAGTTTGTTTCTCGGTGTTCCCTTGACAGCACTTCTCAGAGATTCCATATTTTTTTACTGGCGGGGCAGTATATTACCTGTGATATATATATATTTACAGAAATTGAAATAAATCGACCAAGTACTTACGAGTAAGCACGTCGTTGCATCCAGATGAACATGCTGCTTCTGTTTATTTACGAGTACGTCGCAGCTATATCACGTGACTTGAGGTGATTCACCTCGCTACATGCATTGCCAACGGTAACGCCATGAGGGCGTTGTTGTAATAACCAATCACTTTATGACCGTCACATTTATCAAATCGTAGTATTTTCGCTCTTACTTTATTTATTTATTTATTTATTTATTTATTTATTTATTTATTTGTTTGTTTGTTTGTTTGTTTGTTTGTTTGTTTGTTTGTTCGTTTGTTTAGTTAAGTGTATGTTCATTTGGAAGTTGAAAAAAAAACAGGAAACCTGTGTCTTCATCTGATTTGGGTGATATAGTATCGAATTTGTTTTGTACAAATTGTACATTTTCCATAATAGCTCACTCTACTTCGTCATTCGGACTCGATTCGGAATTGTAATTGATACATTCTTTTTTGAAGAGAGATATTTGTATTTATACGCCGACCAAGTAACTCAATGGAGTATATGGGTTAATCTATATCTGGAATAACAACAACATGTTTGTTGTCTGTCATCAACACATCCATGTGACGAGTAATAAACAGCTGCTGGTTGAAAGCACAACAATAGCGTAATTAATTGCGTTATGCCATGTTTTCGAAACACGTAAATTCTGATCGATCTGATTATGCTACAATTACGTTTGTCAATCAGCAGCTGTGTGTATCATCGTTTCATTCATAGACCTACAAATCTGTAAGCCATGGGTCAGTGAAATGCATAACTACACACACTGTGACGCACATGTTTACGTTCTTCACGCATGTGTTTATAAGAACCGCGGCTAATAATGTATGGTATTGGTCACCCGTTACATCCGGGTTACAGCTCAACATCACCTCACCCCACGAGGCATGTCATGATATTTAAAATGGATGTGAACAAAATGATGTCATACTAGAACGTGTTTATCTTAGTGACGTACAGATAACGTGAGGTCATATCAAACTGATACAAACTATAAACAGCCACTGTGCGTCAGTAACCGGTAATTAAATTAGATACTGGTACAGCGAACTTCTTGTTTACATCACATGTGTTTATACATGAATATTCACACTAAGTGATATTCGTGAATTTTGTTATTTATAAAAATAACGAATTTAATATTGCGCCAAATACGTAAATACGTTATCCCAGCAGTGTTTTACCTCAGAATTTTCATCACAGTGGCACGTGGTCGACACCATGACCTCGGCAATAATCTCAAAAGCTTATTTGTTGTGTGTGTGTGTGTGTGTGTGTGTGTGTGTTTTCTCTGTCATCGTACATCTATGAACTATTTTACACAAAATTTGTGAAAGAGATATTATTTTTTTAGGAACTAATTAGATATTCTACAAAACGAAAAATTTGTTTTTTAATTCCCGTATTGTGTGTACATTCACCAACAATTAATTATGCAAAATGCGATTATTTTACAGCCTAAAAAGATCTAGTTAATATTGAATACTGTCGACACTATCGTTTTCATGAATATTCCCGAATTTCACAATTCAATTGGATTTCCAGTCTCTGTCACTCATGTATATAGTTGACATTCCCGTTCCTTATATTGTCCTCAGCGGTAATTGTTATTATACATAGTTTAGTTTATTGGAACACGTAACAAATCCCCGGACATAACAGGAACAATAAAATCCAAGACAAGAAAACTAATACAAAACAAACTACACACAAAAGACAATGGCGAATCTAAAATGACTAACCTAATGACAATTCATAAAACAAATCAATATAGGTAATCATATCTGACGAAAATTACTTTAAATGGTCTTAACTGCGAGATGTTGTTGTCCCAATAAAATATTTTTTTTTTATGAACTGAGCCAATGAAACGAGTGAACCACTGTTATTGTTTTTCATTATCATTATAAATTGTAACTGATTGTTTAGATTAACAAAGTCTATAATGTATTTCATTGATTTATCAGATAAATCTTGTCTTTGACTTTATAATTGGGACATGATATTATAGGATGCAGTTTATTATTTTTGAACACGAATCACATATCTTTTCCTCGATTTTCTGGTATTGTTTTTCCCCCAGGTTCTATTTTTAAGCTATGATTACTCATGGGAAACTTACTAGCCTGGGGGCTTTCTACATTTTCAATTGTAGTGAGATATTTATGCAAGTTTAGATTGTAAATTCCAGCCACGTGTATTAATATAGATGCGATTGTTATAGAAAATCAGATTTTTTTCAGCCCCTGTGTATTTGCAATACCGGTATGGTACAGGCGATTGTGTTTGAACGATAGTAATGTCCAATAACATTTTCAAATTTGCTCACTGCGCTCGTTGATTGGCTGGTTAAATTCAATCCAATGGGTGTGGTGTCCCTAGTATCTCTGCGGACAAAGTGAGCACACCCGGATTCATACACCTGTGTGTACTAGGTAATCAGCATGCTAGTTTTGTGACGACAACAACAATTAACATGCGAAAAATAGGATTATACGTTGTCTTTTTCAGTTGAGAAACAATTACCGTAGCGGTAATTTTTAGTCAATCAGCATAATATAGCCATTGACTATAGAGCTGGTTATTTATGATGCAATATTAGTTCTGTAATTAGACCATTATAACATGTTTGGAAAGTAATTTCAAACATTGAAATATTATCTTGATCCTATGATTACTTGTACTGGGTTCCCTTGGTTTTCTCAGCGACATTGAATAACCCACGTTTGAACTATAGGGGTGTCGTAGAGTTGCAGCCAATATTCGACGCTACTTACGAACAATTCAACATATTTGTAACATTCTTTGCCGTGGCAAAATGGCAATAGCTCCAGCCAATATTCAATGCTACTTCCGAATATACTTATAACATCTTTTGCCGTGGCAAAGTGGCGTCAGTGAAGTGAAGTCAGGTGAAGTACAGTAGAATCCAACATCCA